CTTTGTGGCCTCTGTGACCTGCCACATGTGGGTTCCTTGTTCAGCTGCACCTCTGAGCATCTCCTGTCCTTCTTGCCACTTGCTGGGGCCCTGCCAATGCCATATCTCTTTCTCTGTGTTACCGCTAGATATGTATTAGGCACTTTTGTTAAGCACTTAACGTATATTATCTTCCTTTTTCTAGCAACTCTAGGAAGTAATATGTTATTGATTACTGCTTGCTGGTTGTAAAGATGGAAATCTGAGGCTAAGATAACCCAGCTGGTAATGAAGGATCTGGCATTACAGCCTGATTCAGTCTCTCTGCTCTGAAGCTCATGAACAAGACCAGTCTCTTATCCTACTTCTTATTTTTCAACTTTTAAAAATCTCAGTTGAGGGCAGGGGAGACAGCTCAATGGTCTAAATGCCTACCTGGTGAATGCAAGGACCCAGATTTGATCCCTGGTACCACATGTGCTGGCCCTGGAACCCCAGGCATGCCATGCTGGTCCCCAACCTGGTGTGGTGGCACATGCCTATAATCCCACCACAGTTGGATCACTACAAGTCCAAGCTGTGTAGCGAGACCCTGTACAAAAAAGAAAGATTAAAAAAAAAGTCTCAGTTGAATTTTTTTCAGTATATCTCTTTGTTTAATTCTTTAGATCTATTTCTTTCTCATTTTTCACCTTCTTGTTTTTGCCTGTAATTTCAACACTGAATAAAGTTATTTCATTGAGTATGGCCCATACTTATTTCAATAAGCTTCTGAAATCTCTCAAGAAATTGTCTGAGAAAAAAAAAAACAAAGAAAAAACATTTTAAAACATGACATCTTCTCAACTGTAGGAATAACCTTTTTCTTTAACTTGTAAAATATATTCAGTAACTTTCTGTCATAAATTTTGGAAGAGAATTGCACAGAGTTTGATTTGTAGTATTGTATATCATTTTAATATTCAGTATACATAATTATAAATTAAAAACCCCTAGCAAACACGTTGAGAAAATTATTACCTTTAAAATTCAGAGCATCAGAGTTCTTATACTGCAATGACAAGCAGAAACACTGAAACAATACTGAGGATTTGGAGGCAGATTTATTTTATGTCAATGGGTGCTGATTGGGATCATTCTCAAAATAGCAGGCTGTGAAAGCTCAGGGAGGAAGCCTTGGGAAGGGGAAGCACAGAGGTGAGTACTTGGCTGTCTCTGATTGGTTCTTACAATGTGCGTCATAGTGACCAGCCATGAATCACAGTGACCAGCCATTTCTAGGTAACAGAAGCAACTAGAACTATAACAGGAGCCGTTCCCTGGGCAACTAAGAAACTAAAGTATACTGGCTGATGGTGCTATTTTTTTTCATAGTACTACATATCTAAAACTTATATCTAATTTACTTAATGGGGTAAGTAAATTAGATATAATTTACTTTATATTTATATCTATATTTTAGATATGTTTGTATGTACATATATACATACATATTTTTAAAAAATCTGTAGACATAGCCATGTCGAAAAGAAAAAATGGGGCCGGGGAGATGGCTCAGTAGAATAACTGCAGTGTTTTATTGGTCTCTCTTGTCAATATCATACAGGCTTTATGTTGATATTTAGCAGTACAGCAATAGTTCCCTAGCAAAGCATGTTGAAAAGTTTCCTTTTTGTTTTGAAGGACAGCCAAGTCATTTGATGCATCCTCTAATCTGTATAAACTTATTGCTTTTGCGTGAGGCCACGGGAGAATGTTATTCAGTGGTACCAATTTGGGATCCATCATCTGTACAATCTGTGCACATATGAAAGTGCACGAGGAGCATGCTGGGCATATGTGTGCACAGCTGAAACAATAATCATGTCCAAAGAGTGGACGGGGTTGGGACTAGGAACCGTGAGTCGTTGCGCTTTTACTCCATTTATTTCTGTGTTGTTTGAATTGTGTTCTGGCAAGTGAAGGTAGCTTTGGCCAAAGAACCAGTAAAAAAAGGGCAGCATTAGTTACAGTGAATCATGTTTGTATTCTAGTTCCACAGCCTCCAAGGCTAGAACCGCAGGAACCAAATTCAGCCACAAGCACAACGATCACAGTTTACTGGAGCATGAACAAAGAAGATGTTATTGATTCCTTCCAGGTTTACTGCATGGAAGAGCCACAGGATGACCAGGAACTAAATGGTAGGTTTGCTAATGCAAACACAGATAAAGGTATGTATGCCTGCAACTCAATGATATATATATATATATATATATATATATATAATGATTCTTTCTATAGGGCAACAATAGCCACTTATAAATTGGCAACAAAAACTCAACTACCTAATGAAATCAAAATAGCAAAGCAGTATTTGGAAATCAAGATCAAGAAAAATAAAAACACATAGATATTATAATTCATGCAAATATCGTAACAGATTTGAGTTTGACTTTAAACTCTCAGAAGAACGGGAGTAATTGATTCTCATTTTCACTAAGTACCAAAGAGAACATACAGTACACACCAGAATATCAAAGAGAACAAAGTTTTCATCAGCATTACACTGACCAAGTGTCACATTTTGTAGAGGAGAAATGAGCTGTACACAGAGCAGTGTACTCCACAGTAATTTTAATGCAGATGCAGCCCCAGATATCATAATTGGCCAATTCTCAGATCTATCTTTGATAAAAATCACAAAAGACCCTTAAAAATTATGTCATTGCCCACAGTGTCAAGCCTTGTGTCCTGGTGTGCTCTGAGTTACTATGTGGGTGGAAGTAGGGACGCTTGGAGGTGGGACGCCACGTCTCATAGGCCGTGCCTCTCTACAAGGGACATTTCTAGGACACTGCTCATGGACCCAGCAAGCAGGCACTGGGGGCAGTGCCTGCATGCCTCCTGGGGACAGAGTAGGATGTGCTGCCTTGCTTGCTAAAGACAGACCCGAGGACTGACATCCATGACAGAATGTTGGAGCCTGATTTGTAATGAGGGGCGAACTGTAACATGTCACTGTTGCTAAGCTTTAAGTCTTTTGAAATGCAATGCGATAATTAATGGAGAAAAAGTACAGACCAAGTAAAAGCAACTGTAAGCATGAAATCAAGCAGCTTCTTTTAGAAATGGCTCACCAAATAGAGTTACTGGGTTTTGGAGGTGCTTCCCTCTTAGTTCCCAAGTCCCACTCCTATCCATCAAAGAATTGAACATGACAAGCAAGAATGTTGGCAAAGTTAATTTGAAAAAATGAGGGAGGAGGGTAAGGGAGAAATTGGCCTTGCAGTATGAATTTAGGCCATACAAAAGGGACAAAAATTAAAAGCAAAATAAGAGTACAGTCTGCATGGCTAATGTGAAGAGGCTGCCGACAAGCTCTTCCTGGAGTGTGCTCACATCCTGGCCTCATAGAATCAAAAAATCTGCCCACACCCTGCAGTTATACTTGCCTTGTGCCCTTTCCTGCCCCAGGTACAGTGTAAAGTTGGCTGAGTCTGTCCAGAAAGACTCCTGTGTAATGAGGATCTGTCACCACATCTCTGTCACAACACAGCATAGTTCAGTGTTCCCTCCCCTCAGCAAATGAGAAGGGCAGGAGGTTCAGTCCTCTCTGCCCCTCAATACTACCCATTCCTGGGTCTCATTGGTTCAGGATCTTGGACTTTGCTGGTAAGTCTGAGGCTCTGACTGCGAAGTGGTGTTGTGTAGGGAAAGTCTAAGTTAGCATGTGTCACTGTACCATTCCCAGAGTGCCCAAGAGCAGAGCCCAGTGAAACTGTGCTCAGATATGGGGGACATGCAGTATATTTGTCCTTACCATATTCTTTAAACTGAACCATTCATCTGAAATATATAGCTTATTGAAAACAAAGGCAACTAAAGAGATCTGCTAAGTTGAAGAAACTCTTGAATTCTTTTTAAATCAATCAATCTAGATTCTTCACTGGAAACTTTTATTTTCCCCTTGTGCAGGGAATAATTCAGGCTGGGCCAGTGCTCTACCACTGAACTATCCTCCTAACTCCCTTATCTGAGGGAATTTTAAAAGTATTCAGGAGTACATATTCAGGAGTAAAATTCAGGAGTTTTAAAGATATTCAGGAGTAAAACTTCAGGAGTAAATTCAGGAATGAAAAAAAAGGAGGATAAATGAAATTACCATAGAATAATTTTTAAAAGAATATTTTTGTCATTGTTGTCATTGTTATTACTATTATGACTATTTGTGGTATTGATGATTAAATCCAGGGCCTCATGAATGCTAAGGAAGCACTCCACCACTGAGCTACATCCTTAGCCAGCCTCCCATTGCTCCTTTTAAATGAGAAAATTCCAGTAAGAATAATCAGATTGATTCAAAGTGGCAGGCATTCAGAATATACTTTTTTTCATAACGGTATTGGGCAATATTTACTAAAAAAGAAAAAGCAGTGAACGTTATTTAAGAAATTTGAAAAGGGGGGCCAGGGAGATGGCTCAGTGGAATAAGTGCTTCCCTGGAAAGCGCAAGGGCCTGAGTTCAATCCCCAGTTCTGAAAAAAAAAAAAAAAATTGAAAAGGAAGTTGTCTAAATTGGACAAGGTTACTTCTTAGGACAGTACAAGACTGATTAAGTTACTTCTGAAATTCATGAGAAGAAACCAAGAATTGAAATCTGAAAAGTCATATTAGATACCATAATGGTTTACTAATCTATAAAGATGTTTTGTAACACCATAAGTTTATAAAATGTAGTAGAATTGTTCTTTTTTAATGATGTTTTCCAGGAAATGATGCTATTGGTGCTGAGGAATTTTCTTAAGGATGTATTACTAATATTTAAGCTAACAAAATATATACAATTTTAATAATTGCTATTGAAATAAGTTACTTTACTTGTGGTATATGAAACTCAAAATCTTACTAATATGTGATATTTTCTAATAAGTGCTCATAAATAACACTATATCATTCTAAATATCTCTTAATGCTATTTACTTATATATTCTAAAGAGTTAGTCATTATGATATGATATCTGTAAATTTATCAGTTTGGGTACTCCACTGGAAAAAAGTATACCCTATGGGATTTCTTTTAGTAGCTATAACTTTTAATTAACTTTGGAAGATGTCTTAGAGTTTCTGATTATACTTTATTCTAGAGTTGGTAGAAGAGTACCGATTAACAGTGAAAGAAAGCTACTGCATTTTTGAGGACTTGGAACCTGACAGATTCTATCAAGTGTGGGTGATGGCTGTGAACTTTACTGGCTGCAGTCTGCCCAGTGAAAGAGCCATTTTTAGAACAGGTAAGAAGATATTAAGAGGCAGTAGGAGGCAATACTCAATCTTTCCAGACTCCTGAGGTCAATAAGTAAGTACCAAACACCTGTTTTATTCCGGGTGTTAGGCAAAGTGCTGAGTATCCAACAACGAATAAGACTGGGCACTTGTTAGCAAGAAGTTCAGAGTCAGGTGGGGGAGATAGAAAATGAGATGAGCACAAGAATGTTTCGTAAGGGCCATGATCCAGATATCCACAGATTGGTATGACAACTTTCCAGAGGGGCACTCAAGACCATGGGGACTTGACAGGATTTTAGATTTATTTATTTATTTAGTATTTTAGGGAAGGATCTACAGGGTATTCAGGGTCTCACTACTAGACTGGACTTTGTAGTGATCCATATGTTTACAACCTCCCAAGAGCTGGATCACAGGCGCGTGCCACCATGCCTAGTTTCAATTGCCATCTTAGCACACCTAGGGGCCCGGGTATCGAACCCCCAGTCCCTGCACCTGCTTAAAAGTGCTTTAATCCACCGAGCTATTTGGCTGGCCCTCAGGATCTTAGATTTAAAAACAAGGAAACACAAGGTGAGAAAGGCTGGCACAAAACATTGTGTTTGTACAATAAGAATCCTGGAATTCATGCTATGGCTTTCAGGAGACACTGGGAAGTTTAGGCCAAGGTGTTCAATGGAAATACCTTCTTCTGTTGCAATGTCTTTTCAGGATGAAGTGGGGTGTGGCATTGCTAAACCTGCATTGACTGAAAGCTCACTGTAGTTTCTCAGTGGAAGAAATAGCTTACTTCTGTCCTCTAGCTCTTCGTGCTTTCTTCTTGTCTTTTAGAACACATTTTTATTGAGGACCTACTGAGGTCAAAATCTTGACTCCCTTTTGTGTGTGTGTGGGGGGAAGGGCAAGAATGTTTTGTACAATAGGTAGGATTTGTAGGAAGTTAATGGTAGAGGGTGTTAGAGGATGGGTGAGAATTGACAATTTAGAAAGCAGAGGTAAGGAAACTTTTCAGAGTATAAATTTTAATCTCTTTTGGGTTTTCAACTCTGAATGAATTTTCTGATAAGAAATTAAAAATAAGACTCCAGCTAAGCATCTTTTCTAGGTGCCAGGGAAACATATTTGGCATTGCTCTGTGACAGACTTGCTTCTTTCTCTGCAGCTCCCTCAACCCCTGTTTTTCGGGCTGAGGATTGCACCGTGTGTTGGAACATGGCCACCATCCGATGGCGGCCTGCCAATCTGGAAGCCACAGAGTCCTACACTGTGGAGTACTGTAGACAGCACTCTCCAGAGGGTGAGGGCCTCAGGTAAGTGCCTCTCCATGGAGAAAACAGAGCTCTGACCCTGGCCAACCTCAAGTTTCTGTGGAACAAGAAAAGCGCCTGGCAATCACTCATGATGCTGGTGACTTGATTTGTGGCTCTTCTGCTGGTCATAAGGGAATGCCACCTTTGCGATAAAACCTGCTCTACAGTACAGAGTAGTAGCTTCCTGTTAGAAACAATGCATGCAAATTTCAACAGCAGAGCATTCCTTGAGTTATTTTTAACTTGAGCCATTAGACAAGATTATTCTACTTTATGCACTTTTTACTAATGCTATCAGAATAGTGTCAGCTATTTGAGGACACTAATAGTGAGCATGTGTGTAACAGAGGTCTGAGTGCCCCAGGGACACATCAGTAACGTGGGTGCTGATTACACACATGTGTAGGCAGAGACACACATATCCAGCATCTCTAAGAAGAAGAAGAATCTAGAAATCTTTCTCACAAAAAAGAAATACAAAACTCTCACTAAAATGATGAAACTAAATTTTATCAGCAAAGGGCCATACACCCACTAGGACTTTGGTACAAATTACTTAGCAAGTGCAGTTTATGGGCCTCCAAAATCCTGGCTATTTAAGTGTCTTCACAGACCTTAAGGAATATGCAGGTTATTACTAATATTTATTTTTTGATAAAGCATATTTTTAGCTTTTCTTTTTGTGGGGCAGTACTGGGGATTAAATCCAGGGTCTTCACAGTGAGTGTCTCGGTTACTCCCCTCTCATTGCTGGGACAAAATACCCAACACCCTAAATTAAAGAAGGAAAGGTTTATTTAGGTCATAGTTGGTGGAGGTTTCAGTCCATACTTGGCTGGGTCCAAGACAGAGTGCCACATGCTGCAGAAGGCAGCAGTTCATGGTGGTGGAAAACAGAAAGACAGCAAGAGCAAAGGGGAAGAGTAGCAGCAACAATGGCAACAGAGAACACGTATGTCTCCTTTATATTGCATCCAGGCTATCTGCCTCAGGCTGTGTGTTGAACTCACACCTATAATCCTCGCAGCAAACACATGCATAATCCCAGCAATGGATCAGGAATTAATTACAAACTCTAGAAGTCTACTCTATAACTGCATGAGGCTTTGAGGGCACAACTAGACACAAGCTATAACAGTGAGCTACAATTCCAGTCCTTAATTATTTAGTTTTTAGTTTTGAGACAAAGTCTCAGTAAATTGTCCATGCTGGGCTTGAACCGTAATCTTCCTGTCTCACTCAGCCTTCTCTTCATGCTGGGATTATATGGCATCATGTTTGGCTTAGTTTTTCTTTTTAACTGAGTTTACTGAAATTAACATCAGAATCAATCAACTATTTATTTACTCATGATATGAGTTTCATAAGACTGAGTAATAATTGTAGTTCTCTCAGACAGAAGACAGGCCTCACAAAGTAGAGATCAGGGGGAGCACCGGGGTTGATAGAGTGTAGACATTGCAGGAGAAGGAAGAGCACAGCAAATGTGCAAGAAACCTCTTCTGTGTTCCTGTGGCTGCAGTGGAAGGCAGGTTTGGAACCATCAAACTGGTGGGAGGTGGCGAAAGTCCAATGACATCTCCATTTGCAAGGGAAAAAAGGCCATCTATTGAGTTCAAAGAAGACATAGAACCCTTAAAGCTTATCATTAAATTATTATATTTGAGACTTTGCTGGTGAGTTCATTTTTATTTTTCTTGTAAGAAAGCACATAAGGGAGTGGATAAGTAGAAAATTGTAGTAGAGTTAAAAAATATAAAGGTTTTTTGTTGTCAAGTAGAAATAGTACAGCAAGAGTAGCAGTGAAGGGAAAAATCCACATGCGCAGGCCTGTGGATAGCTTGGGGTTGTGTCAGAGATGGAGCTGCTTTCCAAATAGGTTCTCAAAGACCCTTCAGGGCCAGGAAGTGCAGTGGGACATCCAGTTCACAGCTAGGGCTGAGCCTCTGCCCTCTGGATCACTGTTGAGTTTGACAATAGACGCTTTTTGGAGCAAGCAAAATTTTCATGAACACAAATTACTGCCCTGTTTATCTGCTGAGTCTCTTACTTACCCACCACATCTGTGCCATTTCTCATCAGTGCAGACCTTGTGACCCACAGCTCAGGCCTGCCTCAGCAGACTGAAGCATAACTCATCCTTAGCACTGGAGATGCAGAACTGCAAATCTCACTTGTGCATTTTGCTTCTCTAATTCAAGAGTTCAAGAGGGAGAAAAATCTGCTCTTTGAAAGTAGCCATATGTCTTAGGTCTCCTTACCACACCATCTGGTTCTCTTAGCCAACTTTGAAACATCCTTTCATGGTCTGGTGTTTTAAAACTCTCTAAAATATTAACTATTGAGCTACATTTTACATAGCTTAATCAGTAAGATGTCAGCTGTGGAGAACCATGAGATAATAGAACTGATGAAAATACCCCACAAAATTTGTACTTCTAGTCAACAAATGGAAACAATTCCCACTTTTCTTCCATTGTATGAGAATGGAATTTATTACTTTGTTTTTTTTCACACAGCAGCAATGATTAAAGTTGTTCTCTTTTGGGAAGAACAGCAAGCAGGGTTGTTGCTTTGTTGGCTCTTGGTGGGATCATTATGTAAAATTACTGTCTCAGTATCTGAGACAGTGCCTGGCATATGGTGGCTACAGTGAGTATGGCTTACTTGAATGGGTAAGTACCAATTAGTGTGAAACACACAATACTCATCATGAGAAAAAGATTAACTTTGAGGATAACCGCAAAAAATAAATTGTTCCAACAGTCATATGTTGATTTTAGTGCTTGTATACTTAACAAAGATATGATGGATCTGTGTGTTGGAAACCTTTGTATGAACTACTTATAGAGAAGAACATCTATCGATCATGCAAACTTTATAAAAAGTTCTGGGATCTGTGGAAACCCTTATGCAATGATAGATTCTGAGGGCACTGTAGGGGAGTAAAGCAGATCAGAGATTGCTTAGTCACATGGTGCCTTGACCATGGGGAGTTTACCTGTGTAGGTACTCAATAAAAGTCTATTAAAAGAATGAATGAATGGAATTAGCCAATTGCCTTTTGTGCTTGCCCACTTCAAGTAATCTAACTGGATAGAATCTCTAGCTGGAGTGGAGAGAGAGAGAGAGAGAGAGAGAGAGAGAGAGAGAGAGAGAGAGAGAGAGGAGTTCCAATGTCTTTTCTAACTCCAATCACTGAAAAAAGACAGGTAAACTTAAAAGCTTTGGCTTGCTGTAGGAAGAAAAGCTGAAAGGAAATCAAACAAATGGGGAAAGGATGAGTAATATTAAACTTCACACACACACACTCACACACACACACACACATACATACTCTCACACATACACTAGAGGAGGGAGTGTATTAATTGTCCTGTAGATTGGGGACTTAAATTTTATTTGTCACAAACGATCACAACCATCTTTAGACCTGCATTCATTCTCCCAGCGTGCTGACCACTGGATATTCCATTTTGAGACTGAAGGTGTTGATTGAACTCTTTGTGGTGGGTGTTTGAATGGAATCAACTTACTGTGCTCCCAAGTTCTGTGGCACAGTGAAGAAATAGCTGAGCAATTGCCTCCCCTCCATAATCCGTCACAGACATTTGCATATCTTTGTGTGTGGGCACTGAGGCTTGGTCCCAGCTCCTGTTGGGACTGAAGGTGGGAGTGACAATCCCTGGCTTGTGCACCGGGCTGAGGGAGCTCCTACTCACCCTCTTCCTGTTTTTTTTTGAATACTTTCTTCAGGTTGGGTGGGCTCAAAACAGTTTCAGAAAATTTCCATTGCTCTGCTGTTTCCTCAGCTGCTCTGTCTCTTCTGTGTGGAGAGAAGTCAGCAGCAGTGTGGGTGGAGGAGGGAAAACTGAGAGAAATATAGTGCAGGGATTAGCTGTGTGGGCTGTGCAGAGAGAAGCTGTGCACTGAGTGACAAATCTGTGAGACTCAATACTCCACATAGTCATCCAGGCTGAGCTTCCTGCCCTTGGCCCCTGGCCTGTGGTGGGATCCCCATGTTGACACCTGGGACAGTGTCGTCAGAGAAGGCCAGGCAACTGAGTGCTGGGCTTGTGAGCTCACTTCCTCCTGCTCCCCTGGCTTGCAGGGCTGACCTGGCTGAGCAGGAACAGAAAGGCTAGGTGTTCCAACTGCGGACACTGCCATTCCTTCTGTAGTAAGGACACATGCTGTTGGGGAGGACCCTGGAAATGCCTGAGCAGATGTGGGGGCATCAGCATCTGTGTCTCTTTAAAATACCTTCTTACTAAGCTTTCTGATGGATAGGAGATGACTGACCAGCAGTCAATGCAAGTGATTTGAACTCTGCCTGCTCTGGCAAGGAGGCAAGTCACTTCTGCTCTGTGCTTGCTTCACAGGGTGATAGGAGGGTTACTGATATGATTGGTCCAAAGTTCATGGGATCTTTAGAAATTATCCACTGCTTTTTCCTGGGTATCACTTTGCTGACACCCACCACCATCACTGCTCCCAACCAAGCATTCTTGGCATTTAGTATTTCTAAATGAAATTTTCTTCCCAAATGAACCTAATTTGACCATAATCATTTGAAAACCTCACTTTCTGGTTATACAGTAAGATCTCAGTCAATGGAAACTCACCTATCTCTTTTAACTTGGACTCTGTCAGTTGCTAGGAATAACTAAACTGTCCAGAGATGAAAAGACCCAGATGAAATAGCACCACTGCAATAGCTCTGTAAGAACAAAAGCTAGACAGGCAGGGTTGAGGAATCTGTGAAAACACATAGGTTAGGAACCTCAGAGGGATATAAAATTCAAATCTGAACTTCTAGGCAGTGAAAGTGAGAATGGAGAGAGGTGGAGGGAACAAGGGGGAGAAAAAAAGATTACATAACTCATCTCTTTGTTAAAAAAAGCACAACATTTCGCTAAGAGAAGCAACTACATTTCTTGGCGTTCAGCTCTGAAATGAAATTTCATGTAGATATTTAAATAAGGGCCATTGAACAACAT